AATTTTGACGCAGTTCCTGAAAATGGCTCTGTTTCGTTTTCATTTCGCCACCCTGTATATTCACTTAAAATATATAGCAAACACTTAAGGAAGTCACTTGGTTTGGCGAGCAATCAGTTTTTTGACGAATTCGCGTGCTTCTGAGCCGACGGAAGAGAATTCTCTTAAGAAAATAGTTGCGTATTATTTTACATGATCCGAATGATGAAAATGTAAACTCATTGCTTGCAAAAAGCTTAGTCCCTCACAACATGATGTTTTCTTAAAGAATATCTAATCTTGATCCTAACTGTTGTAAGGATACATTATTGTATGCATGCAATAGAACCAATTTTAAAAAATCGCTAATATACATTTTGATTACTCAATTATTTTTTCTTTCATCATTATTAATCTTACATCCAAATTGTCTTAGTTAAAAGTCCTTCGGTTACAAGGTTTAGAGTATCTATCGAGATTATGTAAGTCTCCAGTATAAAAATACCGATCAATTGAATATTTTCAGCAAAAAATCCTGTTTTTTTTTTGTAAAATCGGCAGTACCTCATTAAAACAAAGTGTTTGGTAAAATCTAATGGTAGATTCATAAAGAACGAAAGATTTTACATTGGAAATGGTACACTTTGCAGATTTGAAAATCTTGAGCACAATGAACGAGAATGTTGGATTCATCTTGGCGTGAACAAGCTAACTTACAGGTTCAACTTGTCATATCTCCTAAACAAAAGCTATGCTCAACTTAAAATTTTGCCTACTCTAAAGTATCACCACAATTATTATTTAGACCACTTTTGAATCGAATTCGTGAGGTCGACGAAGCGAGCGAAATTTTGGGTCACTCTTTAGTTGGACCTGAAGGAAATTCACCGTTTTAAACAAAATTACTGATCACCTGGCTTGTAATCATTTATAAAGGCTATGTAATATGAATTCAGTATGACTAAATACCCAGTCCACCAGTAGTAGTTCACTTTATCCGTTTAACAAAGATTGTTCAAAATGCAATGCATCACAAATATGGCCATACCTAAATATTTAAGCAAGCCTTACAAAGCCAGACTTTTACGTTTTTGAAGCAAACGACCCTAAGTTGCACACTAGGCGGCAAACACACAATAATTTCATTTTCTTGGGTAAACACTATATGTGTTTTCTAACATTATCCTGAGCATTTATTGGACTTTTACTGCCATTTTACATTACCTCCGCGCCAATAAAATCCACATTGCACTTGTTCAATTGCAGTCGCCCTCCCGGTTGTCAATTTATCCACACACGCCATAGGGGAACGCGATTTATGGACTGTAAATTTTTTATAGAACTACGCCTGAGGGATAGGTAACTGAATAAAATTCGCTCTAGGTAGGAAATTTTTATTGCGTTTTTAATCGGTTCCATTGGGAATTGGCACGGGAATTGTAATATAAAATGCACATCGCGCTCACTCCCTTTGGAAATAAATTGTGTCAGGGGTGACTGAAAATTATTTACCGCATCTCTTAATTGTAGCAAATGGTAAAGGCAACGATATTCACCTGCATTACCTCTAAATTTGGGTATAAATTTTCCAAGAAAACAAAAAAAAAAAAGGTCAATTAAAATTTAATGTTGATGCTGTATAAGTGGTATGAAACTGGACAGTGACTATTGCTCTCAAACATACGCAAAATTCCATCAATCTTCAGGAGTTCCGCAGTGGTCAATCCTGGGGCTACCGCAGTTTATTATTTCATTAATGACTTAATTGAATGCCTAGATGTCAATTATCTACTCTATGCGGACGACCTCAAGCTATTCTCGAAGTTAAATCTTCTACAGATTATACAAGATTACAAGACCATCTTGAGTGCTTATACAGGGTGTAAATGATAAATTTAGTCAAATTTTAATGCCATATTCTACCGATGAAAATAATCAAGTTTAGCTCTATAAAAATTTTTAATAGGACGCTTCCCTACTGAGATACAGGGTGTTAAAAGTTTCAAATATTTATATTATTTTTCCTGTAACTTCACTTGATTATTTTTATCGGTAACATACGCTATTAAAGTTTGGCTAAATTTATCATTTACACCCTGTATAGTTGGTGTTTAAATAATAATCTACCTCTGAATATAAGCAGATGACAAATTATGTCCTACAGTCGACGCAAAAATACTCTAGATTTTGATTATATAATTGGTGAATCTCTTCTAAACAGAGTTACACAATTTACTGACCTTGAAGTTAAGACTATTCATTTTATTAGTTACGGATTTTATCCTCCTTGTAGTACACCTCACGAATTATTGCTTTCTTGTTTTAATTTTAATAGTCTCTTTTAATAGTCGTAGGCGATTTATGTTTTCAATTCTATTCCATTTTAAAATTGTAAATAATACTTTAAATGCAGATTCGTTGGCTTCAAAGATTTTATATCATGTGCTTAGACTTAATTCTAGATTTCGCTTTGTCTTACAATTGCCCATACCTCGTACAAATTTACTAATTGCTTCTCCTATATATCTAATGATTTGACTTATTATATGTATTTTTTAATTCTATAACAAAAAAAATGTTTCTTTAGATTTTATCCTAATCTTGTATGTTATTTAGCTTATTTGTTTTATTTGTCTTTTAGGTACTGATCGTACTTTTTTGTCTCGATTTTATATTTTCATTTTATGTAGTGGGTATTTATTTCTTCTTTAATTAAGCTTTTCTTTTTACCTTATCCTGTAATTGGGACTTTCTCACGTGGGATATTGTAATTTCTAAATAAATAAATAAATAAATAAAATTAGTTAAAAATATACGGAATATTATGGAAAAAAGGAAAATTCACTGGCCACACTTTTTAAATTAAAAAATAGACAGGTCAATCCTATGTGCGTTATTCATATTAAAATAAAAGAAAGAAATTCAATTTCATAAAATTCTGCATGCCACCAATTTTCAAATTACCTCATATCTTCAGGCAATACTAAAATCAAGAACTTTTTAAATAAATGACGTATAAATTTAGAATAAATTATATGCGTATATTAAGGACTAGTTTTTCCTTATTGTTCAGAAATAGAAGATCGAATAATGAAAAAATATCTCAATAAAATATACGTACATGCCGATAATCTGTAAAATTCAATATTACTAAAATATCTCATTATTTAGATTTTAGTCATATACAGGGTGTCCGGTAGCGAATGGGACATACCTTTAGAAAAGCTTCCTTAGGCGAAAATAAATCGATTTACCTAGATCAAGTTATCTTAGCACAATTTTGTTTGCTTATTATCTAAGTTATCTGTTTTCATTAAAAAAAAAATTAACTTTTTTAAACTAATCTAAAACGTGGAAGGCGCTGAAAATACCTTAAATAGTCTGTTTTGTATCATATCGTAAACAGCTCCATTTTCTTAAAAATATATACTTGTTGCATCGTTCCTTTATTTCAATTTTTAACTGTAATCATTAGTTACGGATAGCCGGTTATTTTGGAGTACTATATTACAATTTCTCTCTTTTGTTGAGCTTGCAGCTAAATAAATATTTTTTACGATTTAGATCAACCCAGCTCTGTTAAAAAGTCACTGTTAACTGAGATATAGAATTTTAAATGTCATATACAAAGTTAAGTCCACATGACCATATCCCAGGAGGCGTTGACTTTTAAGTATAGTTAAACTATTGACTATATTTGGCTGTCCCAAAACACATTCATGTCAAATTTTATTAAAATGTGTTTTAAAATGACGGAGTTATCTTGAAAAAGTGTTTTTTTAAAGCCTATGACTTTTTAAGGAAACAAAGTTGTACTAAGGTAATTTTATGTAAATCTTGTTTATTTTCACTCAAAGAAGCTACACTTATGTGAAATTATACAGTGTGTTTTCAAAGAAAGTAGCACCAATGATACCGGTGAATCTAGGGCTAAAAACAACACGTTAGTTCAACCCTTAGGAGATACAGCTTCTCCAAATTTCCAAGAAAATATGGAATAACGGCTGTAATTTGAAAATAAGTATAATAGTCAAATTTTACACAAATTTTCTACTAATGCATGTGCAACTTAGCAAAAATTTTTCAAAAATGTCTGTCTCTTGTAGGGGATTGAAATAAGCGTAAGTTATTTTTTGCTACAACTTTTTTGTTTGACAAAAATTAAATGTTCAAAAACATGTATCAGATAGCTTGGGTTATTTTAAAACTTTTACCTCTCTTACTTTTTTGCTTGATGAACTTCATTTTTTTTGTTAATAAACAGGTAGTTTTGAAGCAAAAAATGAGAGAGGTAAAAGTTCTAAAATAAACCAGGCTATCTGATACATATGTTTGAATATTCAGTTTTTGTAAAACAAAAACGTTGTAACAAAAAATATCTTATTTCAGTCCCCATGAAAAGACAGAAATTTTCTAAAAATTATTGAGAAGGTGCACATGTAATAAAATAATATCATTTTTATGCAAAACGTGTCTTTTTAGCTGTAGATTCGTCGATGTCATTAGCGCTATTTTTTTTAAAACACCCTGTATAAACAGTATATTTTATTTTAAATACTTAAAAATGGAAGCATCTGCTTTATATAATGGTAAAAGTTAGATATTGGGTATTTTGTTGATTTATTCATTGAAATAATACCAGGATAAAAAATGTTTTTTCTGTTGTGTTGCAAAATGTACCCATTTATTCAAGATTTAAAATTTTTCATAGTGAAAAATTGTCACATCAAAATATGTTAATCAAGGATGTGAATTGATTACAATAATTATTGTTATTATTTAATAATTTCTTATTTCCAATATCATAAAATTAATTATTGCAAAAAGGTTTCTAGAAAACCTTTTCAGCAGTTTGTAGGTCACTTGATCGCCTCCACACCCTGCCATTTCATTGACTGTAACGTGTGTTATCTTTTTCAGATTTCCCCGAGAACCGTACAACTGTGCAACTGGTCTATTTAAATCTTTTTCGTCAGAAATCGACATTTAAATAAATGCTACTCGGTGAAGTGTTTAAAAGCAGTAAAAATAAACAATTTACGTAAATTGAAGAGCCGATCCGCTGAATACGTTGGAATTTAAATGGTATTTGTTCGAAGTTGTGCGGAAAAGCGTTTTAGTTATGACTGTGAAATTAGGACACAAAAAGAAAAAGAAATCCATTGATGAGCATCTAAAGGGTCATGTTTATTTTGGCGTGGATTCTGGTTTTCATTCAGGTTCGTCGCACGATTTCAGGATACATAGGTAAGTGGTGTAGTGTATAAAATGCAATTATGTAGGTACTAAAGCATTGGTATTCATGAAATCCGTAGCTAGTAAATATATTTACTTGGAGAGGAAGAAGATATTAGGTTTTGTAAGCATAATATTTCAATCGTTTACTATAAATGTAGTTATTAAATTTTACAGAAAAAACTTTAAATAACGTAAAGTATTTGCTTAAAACTGCAAGTGTTTAAGTTGGATGTATGTGTTAAATTATTGAATTAATATTACTCTCTTCATGTAATTGCTTTTGCAACAAAAGAAGATGGAAAACTTCTTCAAAGACCTTCAACTTATATTTTGATAGTATGATAGCGTATCTATAATATATGAAAAATATGCTAATTTGCTAGAAAATTAGTTGAAACTTAAAATGCAGTTACAATCTTAAATTCAAGATTTGTATATATACTGCAGGAATTAAGATAGTATATAACAATTTTACCGAAATCCAAAAGAATACAAAAGAGTTCAAAATATTGAAAATAGAAATATGCCAAGTTACAAATTCCTTTAATTTTGTTTATGGTTAGTTCCAAGTAAAACAAATATGCAGTAGATTATTGATAAACCATTAGTCTATAATGTCGATGAAGAACATACAACGGAATGACATTAAGCTTGAATAAACATTGGAACAAATTGTGTATATACTATGAGCCTGATTTTTTTCTCATTACTAAACCAATCAATAGAGCATTAAATCATTGATTTTGTGACAAAAATACTAGTAGCAAACGGACTGTGCCATCATGTAGATATATGTTTATATGTTTGAATGATTTCTGGGCTGGTTGTCACGTCGTCGATTTACAACTCTTGACGTTTCGAGAGACATATCGCTATCTTCTTCAGAAGTTACTCTGAAACTGGAGATCTAATAATCTTGTCACTATTTCTATTTAATGTGTTCACTGACGGACGTTCTGGTGGGTCGTACGCGTTGTTACGTTCCAGTGGGTTGCTTTCATATACTTGGCAGATCCACGCCACTATCCCTGTTGAAATTGTTCGGATTTCTGTAAATTCCTAATGCTTCTCTATATAGTCGGGACCAAAATCTTCTCTCTCTCACCACCATTTTGGCTTCACTCAGATCCACTATGTGTCCCGTGTCCGCTCTATGCTCTGCTACTGCCGATTTTTCCCAGTTGTTACTTTTGAGGTGACTTCTGCGTTCCTTTAACTTAGTGTTAATGTGCCTTCTTATTTGTCCTATGTAGACCTTTCCGCAAGAGCGTACACACTGTACACACCGGGGTCCTGGAGCTGGTCGTTGTTGCAGGTCTTTGGAAACGCTGCCGTCATCTTCTTTACAGTGCTGAATACTGTGTTGATATTCCTCTTCTTCAAAAGACGCCCGATTTTATCTGTACAACCTTTCACATAAAGTATATACGTCGTCGATAAGTGCTCCCGTTTCTCCATCTCCTCCTGATAGCTCGTTCGATATTTATCGCCGTGTAGCCATTCCCTATCAGGGCCGTCCGTAGGTGTTCTAGTTCCTCGGCCAAGTGTCTTGGCTCACTGATGATCCACGCTTGATGAATCAAGGTATTTATATTCCCTTGTTTCTGGGCTGGGTGGTGGTGGGGCTCTGTCTGTGTGAGTTGGCTTCCTATATACTCGATGCCTTAAAGTGCCATCTGGTTTCCCCTCAATCAAAACATCCAAGAAGGGAAGGGCGGCATTTTCTCTACTTCCATAGTAAGCTGGATATCTGGATGTATCCCATTGATGTGATCCAAGAAATCCGCTACGGTGTTGCAACCGTAGGGCCAGATGATGTCGTCAACATATCGGTACCAGCACTTAGGCTTCAACGTTGTGGATTCCAGGACTTTCTTCTCAAAGGCTTCCATGTATATATTGGCCAGGACAGGAGATAACGGTGAACCCATTACTGATCCCTCTGTCTACGAACAGACAAAACAAAATTTGATTTTTTTGGTGCACTACTGCTTTGGAGGCGGTCCGATTTTAATTTTTCAGACGGATTTTGAAAGTAGAAGTATAATACTACAAAACGTATATTAACTGAAGATATTTTATCTTTATGGGTAAAAATCATCCAAGCTATTAAAAAGCACTTTAAGGTAAGGTAAAGAATCACTTATCGAAAATTTATTTTAATTAACGACACATCGCCTTAAAAAAGTGACATTTTTTCCTACGATGAGTTCATAGTATAATAGAGTATAAAATTATATCAAAATTCATATATGCATTACTAATTATGTCTGAAATATAAGAAATTAAAGTGATGGTTAAAACTAAGCTAGTTGTCAACCGACGATTGAAAAATCGGATATTAGAGTACCATTAAAAGTGACACTTGTTCCCTGACACCTAATTATTGCTTTCTTATTAATAACCGTAACTACGTACATAACGGCATATGTTCAAATGTGCTGTCTGTTTGTTAAGGGAAATTAACAAGTTAAGCGTTACTTATTACTGGACTGTAAAATTGACAAACCAATTTATTTTCGGGCACATTTTAATGACAGGCTCCATGGTGCATAGCGTTTATAGTCGACTGAATACATCTGGGATTCAATAGATTTTAGTGAATAACTTTTAGGGGTGGCGGTCCATAGTGCTTAAGTTTAAGATCGATTTATCCAAGTTTGTTGCATAAAATTGCATTAAAATTATATGTTCTTTAATATTTCAATGTAGGTTTGTTTCTATATTTATAATACTGTAGTTAATATTAAGAATGGATAGTATGCTGGATATTTCCAAAGAGCATATCGTAACTTCAGCAGTTTTTTGAGTGTTAATAAATCAAGGTTTCCGAATGTGTTTGATGTAAATAGATGAAATTTAGGATAATAATTTTCCTAATTAAATGCAAACATTTCTAGGGGGAATTACTTACCAATATTATGATATGCTCTACAAAAATTGTTCAAAGTTGTTTCTATAAGAGTTCTAAAATCTTGAGTCTACTGAATATTTTTGAATTTAAAGTTCGTTTAATTGACAACTACTGTGTTTATAAAAAAAACTGTTCTATTTTATTCCAATTTTTTTGGTTTGTTTTGATACTTAAAATAGGCTTATGTTAAATAAATGTAAATCTAAATTAAATTTAAAACTACTAATTAAAAAAACTAAATAGGAACGTTTTGGTTAAAATGCAATTTTAAATACAGTATTATAATCAAAAGTCCAAAATATGTAATTATTGATGTAGAAATTTTTAACAAAAGGAATATTGCGTTTAGCACAGCTTCCAATAAGGTTTAAAATTTATATGCCAGATTTTATAGAGTTTTGTGGCTACACTGTATTTAACATTGTATTTCGAACAAACAATCCCATATCTTTTTAAATAAATAAATAAATTCATTTCTTAGAATTAATGGAAATTTTATCCAATTTCCAAAATAGTCAGTGTCCAAAATTCAGAGAATTTTCCGAGGAAGAAACATTTTTAGCACATACTACAACTTTATAGAAAGATGCAGAGTTTTGAATTTAAAAAATATAACAATTGTTACAAAAAGTTAAAAAGTAAAAGGAATTCAATAAACCACTTAAATCTTTACATGACACTTATTAGCAGTATAAAATGTAAAAAAATTTATTATAATTATCCTAGTAACTATCTATTTGTGAAAATGTGTAAAACAAGATTATATTCAGTTACCTATAAAATGGGCTGTTGTGTTCAAAAGCAGCTAACTTATTTGAACAAGGGCAATTCAAGTTTCAAGTATATAATTAATCAATTATGCTTTAATGTACCTACTCTTCAAGAATAACGAATTTATGTCTCAAATTTCTTTATTAAGACTAATGTATTTATATTTATATACGTAAAACATTAGTAAGTTGGAAAGTAAAGTTGTGAATATGCAAATATTTTTATTTGTTTGATGTTATATGGTATATCTAATAAAATTTCAATAAAATTTTAATTTTATGAAACACTAAAGTATATTTTACGAGTAATTTTTAAATACGTTTCTAATAATGTTAATGAAAAACTGAATAGTTTTAGCAATATTCGATTTATAAACAATTTTATGAAGGTTATAACAAAAACAAAATTAACATAAAAGTGATTTGAGTCACGGTAAACAATCATAAACTGGTGAAAATTACATTTGTAATGTATATAATACCTATGAGAAACGTATTAAAATGTTAAATTATGGTTTACAATTTAAATTCCAATATGGTTATTTTCTGTTATCAAATCAAGATTAATCCATTCAAGTAATTTGAAATTTTTAATAAATACGTGACTTACTTTGACTTAACTTGATTTCAAGCGATTTACTAAAAGTTCCAATATATACAAATAAACCAATTTGAGAAACATTTTGAAAAACTCCAATTTCATACTCATATAAAAAAACAATGGATGCCATTTTTAAATAACAGACTATTTTTTAGCATCATTTAAAACAAATCAAAATCTAATATTTTTTTATTATCTAATGTTATCACTTAAATTTAATTATTTTTTATTTATCCATTTTCCTTTTTGACGACAAGGCATTATACATAAATATATGTTTGCAGACAAGAAAATTGAATATTTCAAAATATTTCGATTTTCACCACCACTAACGGCTATGACAACATTTTTAACAGTAAAGCGATGTTTCGCATTGTATTAGCTATGTCCTGTCCAAATTTGGTTAGTGCATCTCTCTCGGTTTCGAAAATTCAATATCTACGTATGTTTTCAGCCACGAGAAATGAATAATTTCAAACATTTCGAATTTTCTCCACCACGAACGGCGGTGACAACATTTTTAACAGTAAGGCGATGTTCCGCATTGTATTAGCTATGTCTTGTCCAAATTTGGTTAGTGCACCTCTCTTGGTTTCGAAAATTCAATATCTATGTATGTTTTCAGCCACGAAAATTGAATAATTTCAAACATTTCGAATTTTCACCACCACTAACGCCAGACAACATTTGTTATTAAAAATATTGACGGTTTAAGAGACACAATGACGTCGAAAATTTGAATTTTATTATATATCTCAATAATAAGTTATTGTAGGATCGGCTTTTTTCTCTGGCGTAAAAAATAATAACAGCTACAGAAAGTCAATGAATATTTTTTCTTATAATTTTCGATACTTTCGTTCAAATTCAAGTTATTTGTTCTTATCTAACTATTTCAATACTTTCAATACACTCCGATTATTTCTCGAATTATTACTTTTTTACTTACGAGTGCATTATTGGTTAACATTAAGGTTAACATTAATTTAGAACATCTATCGTTTTACAACAAAAGTTTGTATATCTTTTATCACAAATGCTATTTTAAATACAATTTATAAATGAAAATGTGAAAAGTGTCATTGGCCCAGAGATTTTGTATTTTATTACAGGTAGTAGGAGGGCATAGTCCCCAAAAATGCGAAGTTTCTACTCCAATGATTCTTTTTAACAAATGTGTCTGTTTATGAAAAGCCCAAAAAAAATCATTAGCGTAGAAACTTTGCATTTTTGAGGCTGTGACCCTGCTACCTCTAAAAATTTCTACAGCAATGATTTTTTGACATTTTCATAAAAAAATCAATTCAATTCAACTGGAGATTGAGGAAAGGACATAATTTTTACTGGAGTTTCTAAATTTTGAAGTTCTGTCATTGTGTTTGGCTTTGCTTACAAAAAACTAACTATATTATAAAATATTGTCGATTTTCCTGCGAAATAACACCAAAACATGTTTCAGAAATAGTTCAAACGAGCGACTGCAACTCCTGCAGGCTTATGCTGACCTGCAAACATCTGAACTCAATCATCGCCATCCTGGACGTAGAATTTACGCCAGGCCACGTCAACGACACTTTGGGAAATACCAGTGTTACGCCCACCCTCTTCCCACCTGTACACCCCAGGGGTTGCCTCAATCAAAGGTCAGTTCATCCATTCCCTTTCTGAAACCCTTTTGCTGTTAACCTACAAACATGTATTACAATTAGTAGAGAAGCGCAAATGGAATGTCAGAGTTGAAAGTACAGAATTGAGTTTCTGCTCTATGCACTAGTAGTATGTATTCTTTCTTGTTAAGGATTATTTTATTATTATTCAGAATTATTATACATGTTAAAAACGAAGGAACATTTTACCAATTAATAAAAATGTTTTGTTCTTGTATTTATTTTCAAAACAATGCCAACAAGTTCGTTATTAGTTTGCGATTCGATAAAATAGTAAAACTAATTTAATATGCACCCCTTCAATCAACCCTTATATTTTGATAATTGCATACACATCTATCCGTTTCTGATAGTAGAAGGGTAACATTTATATACAAAACATATATACTGATATAACATTTATACCATGTTACGAGTCAATAGAATCTAGATTTGGTTTTAATTAAAAAAGAAATTGCTATATTAGCAACTAAATTGTTTCGATAAGGATCAAAGACATGCAAAGGAGATCATTCCTTTGAAAAGCCATTCAATGTGTCCCTTTCATTTCTTTTATTTTCTGTTAATAGGATGTACATTTATTTTGTTAATTTCTAAGTACATTAAATTGAGTATATTTTTCCTTGTTTTGGGTGACATGTAATAGTGGGTGAAAGATTGACAGAGACTGTCATTTAATAATTCGTCCAACATTTATCCGAAAACATCACTTCAGCCATATTTAGATTGCAATGTAACACGCAACATGTGAGAATTACAGCATCGAATTTTAAATTTAACAAGAGACAGTATCAAATACAGATTCATGATAATATTAGGTATTCTCCAGAATAAACTGAAAATATATATTTTTATACCAAATAAAGTCTACTTGTAATTCGTTTTTTGATCTTACTGCACTACTTAAACTATTGTCTACGCCGCCACTAGGAGCTTCCGAACTAGGTTTTCTGTGCGATCTTATAAGTGTTGCCTGTTGTTATCCTTACAATGTATCTCCTAACAGAAAGTGAAACGAAAATAATTTTATAAAAACAGACAATAGAAAGTAAATAAAAATATTTAATTGATTTGAAATATTTTCTAATATATTCAATTTTTTTATAAATATTACTTGTTCACAGCCACACAAAAAAGAAAAGTTGTCTGTACTTTTCATGCGACATATGTTATCTGTAGTATTTTTGCCTCCTGATCACGAATCCGGTGTCAGAATTGAGCTATCACATCACAGGAATTTCCTATCCTCAAAAAACTAGTAAAAATAGCAAAAATTCATGAAAAAGCGCTAGGAAAAATACAAAAATTTTTTTTTTCTATTTTCAAATGTTCATTTATATAGTTAAGACCCAACGTGAATCCTTGGTCAGAATTAAAGGTTCTTTTTCTAACCTCAAAAAACGGGTCAATTAAGGTCAGATATCACGAATTTTCAAACAATAACAGATTCGCGCCAAATTTGGTATACGAGGGTTTTCTGGGTCGCTGAACACGGATACGAGGTCAATGTTGCAAAATTCAAGATGACGGATCCAAGATGGCCGATCAAATTTTCAAAAAATAACAGAATCGCAGCATATTTGATATACGGGGGTTTTCGGGGTCGCTGACTACATATCCAAGGTCAATTTTACAAAATTTAAAATGGCGGATCCAAAATAGCCGACTAAATTTTCAAATAATAACAGAATCGCAGCAAATTTTGTATACGGAGGTTTTCGGGATCGCTGATTACGTATTTGAGGTCAGAATTGCGAAATTCATTTTGTAATATTTTACTTTATAACCTGGTACCAAATCATGTATTAACCTACTTTTTTTCGGCTATATATTGTTATTTTTTTTCGTAAAAGATCTATTCACGGGTTGAATTTGATTTCGGATTCGTGATCAGTGACCTCAAAAACCCCCGTATATCAAATTTGGCGCGAATGTTATTTTTTGAAAATTTGGTCGGCCACCATCTTGAATTTTGCAAAATTGACCTCGAATTCGTGATCAGCGACCCCGAAAACCCCCTTATACCAAATTTCGTATACCAAATTTGGCTCGAATTTGTAATTTTTTTAAAATTCGTGATACCTATCTGACCTTAATTGACCCGTTTTTTGAGGTTAGAAAAAGAACCATCAATTCTAACCGCTAATTCACATTCGACGGGATCTAAACTAAATAAATGAACATTTGAAAATAGAAAAAAAAATTTTCTATTTTTCCTAGCACTTTTTCGTGAATTTTTGCTATTTTTGACCTGTTTTTTGAGGTTAGGAAATTCCTGTGATGTGATGGCTCAATTCTGACACCGGATTCGTGATCAGGAGGCAAAAATTCCACGGATAACATATGTCGCATGACTACTTTTCTTTTTTTGTGTGACTGTGTTATTTAAAGCACTGCATTTAGTTTGTGAATCTCAGTGTCAATAGTTCATACTACATAATATCAATTCCCTGATGTAATATGATAACTGAGGGGCAAAAAAGCAGATAGCCAACGTTAATTCAGTGAAACAAGACTGGCTAAATATATCATCGTTTCATTTCATTACATTTATTTTAGTTTTAATTTAATAGTTTTCTACTAAAATCGAAATAATTGTATAATATTTGTAGTCGCGCGTAATGTAAGTGTATAAACCTTATGAGGTTAGGTATAGTGTTTTGTATTTAGTGACGGTTTATGTGTCTTCATTGTTCAAGACAAATAAGAAGTATGAGATTTGGCAACAATGCATGCCGTGTAATGCATTTCAATTGGCTACGCACACGAGTCTAGCGCGCGCGATTATTTGAAGTTACACTAGCTTGTCCAGCAGCGGGGTATGAAAGTTATGAAAAACAAATTTAAAAAATCAGTTTTCATGAGAGAATTTGAGGAAACACACTTATGATATGTGTTAACTATTTAAGATAACCTGCGTATAAATATTCAACCCATATTAAAATTTTCACATTGTATAGAGTATAGGTATAACATTTCCTGAAATAATTATTTATTTTTCTTTCAAAATTCTTCTCTATTTTGTTTGATACTCATTGCAACATTTTTATATCATTATTATCATTATAAACAGTCAACAAATAAATATACTAATTGTCACTTTAGATATAAAAATAATGTAGATATTTCATCCAGTTTAGGATTCAATTTCATCAGTCTACATTTATATTTTTTGATTTGTAAGTTCATCGGAACATGTTATCATTTTGACGTCAAAATTAAAAAAAATGTTAAATAATTTTTCATTGCTGTCATATATATCTAAAAAATTCAACTTAACTTTTTAATCAAGTTAGCTTCTTAACAAAACTACCTTCTTATTATTCTTTGTTCTTCTGTACGCACTAGTTTATCGGGGATTGCTGCTACCTATGTTATTTCACTTTGCCGTACCGACTATATTATTTCTCTGTGGCCGTATTCGCAGCCGACTGATAATACTGGTGCAGAAATCAACGTATTGTGAATAAAATATAAAGAGCTCGTTGCTCCATCTCTTAAATATTTTATTTTTAATTTTCGAACACATTGTAACGGAAGAAAATTACATTTTCCTTCCCGTGTCGGTACCGGGTTATGAATAGAGTATGAAATAATGGAAGTCCTTTGGGAATCGATACGTGAACTGAAAATTTCATTTCATGCGCATTTTATGGATGGATAAATCGACAGTTACAAATATTTCTGTATCGAAATATATAAAATAATTACGTCCTAATGCCTGTCGCACACGTGACGATAAATCGCGATGATTTATCTGCTCAGATCAGTGTGCAGATTTAATTGAGGTGTGGGTGGGAAATTGTTTGTTTTACACAGACATTTGTACATAATCCAAATAGAAAACTTTTATTTCAATGTTTTCCGATATATTCTCTTATTTTATCAACTTTGCCATGGAAAAAAGTTTTATTGTCATTACTGACATTTTAATTATTTTTGTGAAAATATACTACATTTATTGTAATCTTTATCAAATATCTTTTGAGATATTTGGATAGAGATAGATTGTCGTATGTACACTACATCTAATTCGTTTACGACATAAGTTCATTGTTATATTTTTCCTTAAATAATCTGTACACACTTCCTTCGTAAGCCCTTTTATTATAAAACTTCATTCAGTGTTCACGTAGAACGTATTAGGTTACCGAAACTACCACAGGAACTTGAGTAATCCTAAGAGAAAACACGTGGTGATAGTATTAGTATGAAAGTGGTTGTACTTACGTGTAATGTGAGACATGAGAAAAAATGGGGGAAGCAGTAGTGTGGAGATTAGAATAGTAAATAGAACGAAGCTGTATTTATTCGATTACAACGTTTTATTTAAATTCTAATACAAGATATCTGCTAAATTTCACACGCATGAACACAGTAACAATAACAAATTTCTTTGTATTAAAACAAGTAAAAATGAAAACAAAATAATAAAGAAATGCAACACAACAGTTAATCCTGTAAGTCCATCTAGCAACTGAAATGTTTTGACTATTCCAAAACAACGCTGATTCACTTCAAATGATCCTGAGTGTATCCTACATTTTTATAGTATCATGAATTGCCAACTGTTTGAAATTTTGTGCCATCCTATATTTATATAGTAAAATTCGTGTAACATCTTTTACAACCGCTGAAAGCTGGGTGCTTTGTTATTGTTGAACTTGAGAGCTTTCAGCCATGTGGCGCATTTTGGTACATTTTAAAGCAATTTATTGATCAAACTGTGCTAAAAATATTCGTCCTTATTTAAATACGTAGGCCATGCTTTCAATGGCCTACGTATAATGTATTTTTGTATGACAATAATACTTAGAGTGGTAATTTTCGAACCTCTTTTAAAATAATTCCAAATTGGTTTGGAATCGTCCATGTTTCCAGTTGAAATGAAATTTTTACATCCTAAAAACAAATATTTGTGATTCGCGCGATTTTTACGATATCTTATATATCTTTCGGGATATCTTACATTTTAA